CACATATACTGGTCGTTGTCCGCGCGCATGAATACGGGCGGCAGTGCTTCTGTGGGGACAGATGGACGAGTAGCAAACACCCGACTGATGAAACTATGGGTGCTCCTCGAGTCCACTAGTAAGAGCATAACTTGATCACCAACCTGGGCGCACATACGCATTGTGGATGGGGCCTCATCACCAGATAGGGCATGCTACGAGAGTGTGCAACATTTTGGCTCCTGGGCTACTGGGGTATCGAGAGACTAAAGTGCGTGCACCATGTCATCCGAGAGGATTTCCCCATAGTCGCCGACCTCAATCATAAGAACTTGACTGGTGCGCTTCCACTGATGTTCTCAACTATATTTGTCACCACAACGGAAACAGAGGCCATTGGCATGCCTGAAATGCCGTAACTTCCGCTCTCTGCCGTAATCATTACCACCGAGTCATGGTGGCAGACTGGCGCAAACTGGTATAGGAGTCGGCGAGGTTGATTGTGGACGGCCCCCTGGTGTAGTGCGGTGGCGTGGTACTCATTGTTTCTCTAGTTCCTCTTCTTGAATTCTGGCGAACACCTCCGGTTGGTGACTATAGCCGGATACCCAATCGGAGTTCGTCCTTCAACCCAAGCAGAAATTAGGAGACGAGAAATTTGGGGCTCAGCAATGGGTCGAGTGACATGAGATGGTACATGGATGTTTCAAACTGTTTGCGATACTCTTGCACTGTTCCTGTCTGCCGCAATTGCATGAAATGATGCATTTGGACCTCGAAGTCCTCGAATGTGTCTCACAGAATACCAGCACCCACACCGCTGCAAGCCCCTCCATGTATGGCGAACCTGTGGTGACCCAGTTGTGCTGCGGCACTTGATACAACTCGAAGTATCAGGTACAACACTCTAGCCAAATCCACGGTGCATTGCCATCGAACCGCGGAAATTCATGTTTCAGAGGTTTGAAAGTGTACTCGCTGGTGCGGCCCTGCTCTATCGTTTGGCATGCGCGGGGGAAGCAGAGGCGGGCCGTGGTTCACCATATAGGTGAAGGGCAGCTGGGCCGCGCCCTCGTTGTAGAGCAGTAGTGGCGGCGTGGGGCGAACGGGCGGAGGGGTGGTACTTGGGGCGGATCGGTGACTAGTGGCAGAGGTGGCTGATACGTCTCCAACGTATCTATAATTTTTTATTGTTCCATGCTATTATATTATCCACCTAGGATGTTTTAGATGCATTTATATGCTATTTCATATGATTTTTGGGACTAACCTATTGACCTAGAGCCCAGTGCCAGTTTCTATTTTTCCTTGTTTTGAGTTTTACAGAAAAGGAATACCAAACGAAGTCCAATTGACGTGCCAATTTTTGATGATTCTTTATGGATGAAAACAAGCCCCCGAAGTAAAAGAGTTGGGCTAGAAGAGTCCCGAGCCATCCACGAGGGTGGAGGGCGCGCCCTAACCCCTGGGCTCGCCCCCTATCTCATGGACGACTCGGAGACCCCCTGATGTGAGATCGACGCAAAAAATGCCTATAAATACATAAACCCCCGAAAAGAAACCTAGATTGGGAGTTCCGCGGCCGCAAGCCTCTGTAGCCACCGAAAACTTATCTAGACCCGTTCTGGCACCCTGCCCTGCCGGAGGGGGGATCCATCACCAGTGGCCATCTTCATCATCCCAGCACTCTCCATGACGAGTAGGGAGTAGTTCACCCTCAGAGTTGAGGGTATGTACCAATAGCTATGTGTTTGATCTCTCTCTCTCTCTCTCTCTCTCTCGTGTTCTTGATTCAGCACGATCTTGATGTATCGCGAGCTTTGCTATTATAGTTGGATCTTATGATGTTTCTCCCCCTCTACTCTCTTGTAATGGATTGAGTTTTCCCTTTGAAGTTATGTTATCGGATTGAGTCTTTAAGGATTTGAGAACACTTGATGTATGTATTGCATGTGCTTATCTGTTGTGACAATGGGATATTCACATGATCAACTTGATGTATGTTTTGGTCATCAACTTGCGAGTTCCGTGACCTTGTGAACTTATGCATAGGAGTTGGCACACGTTTTCGTCTTGACTCACCGGTAGAAACTTTGGGGCACTCTTTGAAGTTCTTTGTGTTTGTTGAATAGATGAATATGAGATTGTGTGATGCATATCGTATAATCATACCCACGGATACTTGAGGTGACATTGGAGTATCTAGGTGACATTAGGGTTTTGGTTGATTTGTGTCTTAAGGTGTTATTCTAGTATGAACTCTAGGATAGATCGAACAGAAAGAATAGCTTCGTGTTATTTTACTACGGACTCTTGAATAGATCGATCAGAAAGGATAACTTTGAGGTGGTTTCGTACCCTACAATAATCTCTTCGTTTGTTCTGCGCTATTAGTGACTTTGGAGTGACTCTTTGTTGCATGTTGAGGGACAGTTATATGATCCAATTATGTTATTATTGTCAAGAGAATTTGCACTAGTGAAAGTATGAACCTTAGGCCTTGTTTCAACGCATTGCAATACCGTTTTCGCTCACTTTTATCATCAGTTACCTTGCTGTTTTTATATTTTCAGATTACAAAAACCTATATCTACCATCCATATTGCACTTGTATCACCATCTCTTCGCCGAACTAGTGCACCTATACAATTTACCATTGTATTGGGGCTGTTGGGGACACAAGAGACTCTTTATTACTTGGTTGCAGGGTTGTTTGAGAGAGACCATCTTCATCCTACGCCTCCCACAGATTGATAAACCTTAGGTCATCCATTTGAGGGAAATTTGCTACTGTCCTACAAACCTCTGCACTTGGAGGCCCAACAAAGTCTACAAGAAGAAGGTTGTGTAGTAGACATCAGTGGCACCTAGGTGGAGGATCCCATGGTCGCCGTGACCCCGGAGGCAGAGAGCGTGCTCGCGGCGGCCATCGCTTCTGGATCGGTGACCGGTGTTGACTTGCGAGCCTCGTCCACTTCCGCCTGGGTGAGGTCAATTTTCTTGGACAAATATTTGAGCTCATGAGACACCTGCTCGTTGAAGGCGAGTTGCACTTGGAAACGCTCATCTGCGGTGGTCTTGCTGGCATCAAGACAACGTATGACCGACTCGAGCAGATTTTGGAGCTTATCGGTGGTCTCCATCATCACGGTGAGGACGTGTCAGATCTGGATCGAGGGTTTGTTGGACGACACTGTCGTCTCGCTCCAAAACGGATCGAACCACAGGAAAGATTTTGCATGCATTCACCAGGGTGAATCGCACCTAACATGATGGAATTTTTCCGATCCGAACGAGAGGATGTGGGGCGGCGGCAGCGTGAAGGTGGGGAGAAAATTTCTGGCTCTCATTACCAACTGTAATGCCCAGCTGGGGAGGATCAGGGAGAGGATCGGGATGAGGAAGGGAGAGGTTAGGTGAGAGGAGGCAGCGGAGGGGAGAGGATCAATTCACTTTCTTATTCATCATGAACCATAACAATGGGAACAACTAGCTTAAGTAGTATCTCTCACACACACACATCGTCCCAACACGGGATCACTCGTATTAATTGGCTTGGGCCCAGAGGCTCTCAGGCTATGGCCCAACTTAACTTGTAGTTGCACAATTCGTGCACTCGTTGTCCGCTGCAGGTTCAGGCCATGCACCCTAACTGCATGCATGACACCCACGTGTGGCGTACTAGTTTTGCACATACATATCTTTTACGACACATTGTGGGAAAATGGGTTGGCCGATGGAGTAACAACGGAGCTAAGGTCAAATCATCCCACCTCCGACCACGTGGGTGAACACATGTACCTACGCATATCATAACATCACCAAGTGACTACCTTGAGCGACTGTGAAATGACGGTCATTTGTTCCCGGAGGCGAGGAGCCAAGGACACTTCATCGAGTATTTAATTTGCATGCCTACCTTGTTAGGAGAGGTATTATTTGTGTAGAATAGACACTATGGTACCCCTTGGACTATAAAAGGAGGGCCGAGCTACTGTAAAAGGGTGTTGGATACTTGGTAGAACCTAGGGAGGAGCAACACTACACTTCCCGTTCCAACGGGGGTTTGTAGCTCTCTATCCACCAAATAAACCACACACAAACTAGGAGTAGGGTGTTATGCAACCATGCGGCCTGAACCTGGGTAGACCGTAGTGTCTTTCTACTCTATTCTCGTTGAGATAGATCCATGCCTTGCACACTGTCTATGAGTCGACAAGGGATGCCTCCAATCCTTGGTGTCTCGCTTGTGTTCTGCACATGCGGACGACGCCCGGTTACACTCTAAATCCTTGAGTATCCACAAATCTAGGCGCCATGTCCTTGTTTCCTAGCTTCCTCCCTTCACTCACTCTCGATCTAACACGCGTCTAGCCCCACACACACCCATGCATCCTCCACTAAGAGTGAAACCAACTAGTTGTGTCCTCATTTGTATTGCCATAATTCCAGCACTATACAATTTATACTTCCCAATATAATTTTTATATGTTGACAATCGAGTCATAAGAAAATATGACCTATTAAATAGTAATATGTGGCCTTGTGCCATTGATCAAAACAAAATATATGGTCAACAATTAGGTGGCAACTATTTGAGGTTGTTGAAAATCCATATGCACATGTCAACAACTTCAATAAGTATAATTTAAATGTTAACATTATTATACTTCACAAATTTGGTAGTTCATATCTTCTTTCAAAACGACTACATGTAGACAAAGAGACATCTTGTAGATACAATATTGAAATTCTATCCTACAAGTAGAAGTTAAATGTCTACATTATTATACTCCATAAAACTGTTGATTCATGTCTTTTAGAACCACTTCCATGCAGATATAGCCACATCTTCTAGATATAATATAAGAATTTCAACATGCATATCTTCTAGATAGAATCACATATCTTATCATTCAGTTTTTTAGGTCTCGTCTTTCTAGGCTATAAGATATGGCGTAGCCTATCTCGATGTGCATCTACTCGCTTACTTGCTTTCGTAACTATTCATTTTTGAAGACATGGGAGTCATCAAAATGCTAAGCCTATTATGCCTGCTACTGCTCATGCCACTTCTTTTAGTTCCTTGTAAGAGTTGTTTGAAAATTTCAGATGAAGAACAAGGCACTTCCTTCGTGCAATATTTTACATTTTCAAGTCATATGTGATATTCATACTCCATGCTACTTCTTTCTTTCTTGTTTCTTCATGGAAGATTGTAGGATCTAATTTTTTGTGCTCCATATCGTGTGGTTGTTTTGTAGGCTTGGAAGCCAAGACTTGCGTTGTACATAGCAGGACCTATGAGACTATATCATGCAAGGTGGATCCATGTGTTGAGGCCTGCCACAAGGAGGGATTTACTTATGGGTTCTGCTCCCCCTACCCCCTTATAATAGTTTGTTTCTGCGTAAAAAACTGTTGAATAAAAATCATGCTGCGACTATCATAGGATGTGTGATGTAACAAATAATAAGGTTATTTAGTATGATGAATTGAGAATGGGAAATGCCAGAAGTTGAGTATCTACCAAATATTCCTTACCTTTTGGCTTAACGTACAAATAGGACTACTCATGATGCAGGTACATCAAACACATGGCACTATGCTAAAAAATCACATGCTAGAAATGTGAGATGTGGTTACTTTGATTACCATACACCCACAAACATTTTGTCCCTACCATATTCTCTAGCGTATGTCCTTCCCTCTGGTGATGCTTGTTAAAAGTATGACCTATAAGCAATAATAAAGTTGCTATTCTTCTATTTCCATGCTCATAATTAAGTTTATATTATTGCGTTATAAACCCAATGGTTATTCAATATGAGATTCGTAGGAAAACCCAGTGGCATGTGTGAAAAGATAAACACCAATCAGATCCCTAGCGTCAGTGTCACAGATAATGGGTACCTGTTGAACCCTCCATCATGTGGGCCGTGCCGACTCATTAATTACTGGGAGTACGCCGAGACATCAACAGAACCTGAAGCTCATACAAGACCCCTCTTAATGGATTCAAGTAAGGCAAGGCTTTGGAAGCCTTCCAGTTACATATTGAAAAGCATCACCCTTGCATTGACTCCAACGAGGAGAGCATCAAGACATCCACACTCATCCTACGAATGTCCGAAGAATGGGCTATCGCGAAGTGGTCGTCCCCTGTGAATAGGCGACGGATCCACCACGGGTCGAGCCCGACCCATGGGTGGGAGGAGCAGCCCCCGAACAGTACATTGGCCTAGGCCAATGATAGCGTGGGAGGAGACCTTTGACGATGTGTTTCTCACTGGAGGCCACCCCGCTCTTAAGCAATCATGACGTGTCGAGCGTTTAGCCTATCTTTACCATGCACATGACAATTGTTTTGGTACGTTGATGTCTACTATGCAACTTTATTCTTGTAGACACATGTTGGGCCTCCAAGCGTAGAGTTTTGTAGGACAGTAGCAATTTTCCCTCAAGTGGGTGACCTAAGGTTTATCAATCCGTGAGAGGTATAGGATGAAGATGGTCTCTGTCAAACGGCCCTGCAACCAAATACAAGAAATCTCTTGTGTCCCCAACACACCCAATACAATGGTAAATTGTATAAGTGCACTAGTTCAGCCAAGAGATGGTGATAAAAGTGTAATATAGATGGTAGAAATATATTTTTATAATCTGAATAAATAAAAACAGCAAGGTAGCAAATAGAAAACAAGCACAAAAACGATATTGCAATGCTTGAAAATGAGGCCTAGGGTCCGTACTTTCGCTAGTGCAATTTCTCAATAGTGCTAATATAATTGGATCATATAACCACCCCTCAATGTGCAACGAAGAATCACTCCAAAGTTCCTATCTAGCGGAGAACATACGAAGAAATCATTTGTAGGGTACGAAACCACCTCAAAGCTATTCTTTCTGATCAATCTATCCTAGAGTTCGTACTAAAATAACACCAAGCTATTCTTTTCGATCGATCTAACCAAGAGTTCGTACTAAAATAACACCAAAGCAAATTCAGATTTGTAATATTCAATTCAACACAAAGAACTTCAAAGAGTGCCCCAAGATTTCTACCGGAGAAACAAAGACAAGAACGTGCATCAACCCCTATGCATAGATTACTCCAATGTTACCTCAGGAATCCGCGAGTTGAGTGCCAAAACATATATCAAGTGAATCAATATGATACCCCATTGTCACCACGAGTATTCAATTGCAAGACATATATCAAGTGTTCTCAAATCCATAAAAGTATTCAATCCGGTAACAACAAAGTCTAAAAGGGAAAAACTCAATTCATCACAACAAGATAGAGAGGGGAAAACACCATATGATCTGACTATATTAACAAAGCCCGCAATACATCAAGATCGTGACATCTCAAGAACATGAGAGAGAGAAAGATTAAACACATAGCTACTGGTACAAACCCTCAGCCCCGAGGGTGGACTACTCCCTCCTCATCGTGGTGGCCGCCGGGATGATGAAGATGGCCATCGGAGATGATTCCCCCCTCTGGCAGGGTGCCGAAAAGGGTCTAGATTGGTTTTCGGTGGCTGCAGAGCATTGCGGCAGCGGAACTTCTAATCTAGTTTAACCCCGAGGGTTTTTGGAATTTTTGGGAATTTATAGGGTAAAGAGGGGGTGCGGGAGGCCACCGATGTGGGCACAACCCACCTGGGCGCGCCTGGGCCCCCAGGCGTGCCCTGGTGGGTTGTGCCCCCTCAGGGCACCCCTAGGTGCTTCTTTGGCCCACTGGTGGTCTTCTGGTCCATAAAAAATCCACAAAAAGTTTTGTGGTGTTTGGACTCCATTTGATATTGATTTCATGCGATGTAAAAAACAAGCAAAAAACAGCAACTGGCACTTGGCACTATGTCAATAGGTTAGTCCCCAAAAATGAAATAAAATGACTATAAAATGAATATATAATATCCAAGATTAATAATATAACAGCATAGAACAATAAAAAATTATAGATACGTTGGAGACGTATCATACGTGTCTGATACGTCTCCAACGTATCTATAATTTTTTATTGTTCCATGCTATTATATTATCGGTTTTGGATGTTTTATATGCATTAATTTGCTATTTATATTACTTTTGGGACTAACTTATTAACCTAGAGCCCAGTGCTAGTTTCTATTTCCCCTTGTTTTTGAGCTTCACAGAAAAGGAATACCAAACGGAGTCCAAACGAAATAAAACTTCACGATGATTTTTCTTCGACTAGAATACACCCAGGGGACTTGGAGTCCTAGCTAGAAGAGCCACGAGGTGGAGGCAAGGGTGGAGGGCACGCCCTAGGGGGCACCCCTACCTTCTGGCCCCCTCGGGGCTACCCTGACCTAGCACTTTGTCCTATATATTCACATATATACCAAAACCCTCAAAAGCATCCACGAAAACACTTTTCCACCACCGCAACCTTGTGTTCCCGTGAGATCCCATCTTGGGGCCTTTTCCAGCATCCTGTCAGAGGGGGTTCGATCACGGAGGGCATCTACATCAGCTCTATTGCCCTTCCGATGAAGCGTGCGTAGTTTACCATAGACCTACGGGTCCATAGCTAGTAGCTAGATGGCTTCTTCTTCTCTCTCTCTCTTTGATTCTCAATACCATGTTCTCGATGTTCTTGGATATCTATCCGATGTAATCTTCTTTTGCGGTGTGTTTGTCGAGATCCGATGAATTGTGGATTTATGATCAACTTATCTATGAATATTAGTTGAATCTTCTCTGAACTCTTATATGCATGATTTGATATCTTTGTATTTCTCTTCTAATTATCGATTTGGTTTGGCCAACTAGATTGGTTTTTCTTGCAATGGGAGAGGTGCTTAGCTTTGGGTTCAATCTTGCGTGATTTCACCCAGTGACAAAGTAGGGGTAGCGAGACACGTATTGAATTGTTGCCATCGAGGATAAAAAGATGGGTTTTCATCATATTGCTTGAGTTTATTCCTCTACATCATGTCATCTTACTTAAGGCATTACTCCGTTCTTTATGAACTTAATACTCTAGATGCATGTGGGATAGCGGTCGATGTGTGGAGTAATAGTAGTAGATGCAGGCAGGAGTCAGTCTACTTGACACGGATGTGATGCCTATATGCATAATCATTGCCTTGGATATTGTCATAACTTTGCGCTTTTCTATCAATTGCTCGACAGTAATTTCTTCACCCACCGTATTATTTGCCTTCATGAGAGAAGCCTCTAGTGAAACCTATGGCCACAGGTCTATTTTCCATCATATTAGTTTTCGATCTACTATTTTGCAATCTTTTATTTTCAGATCTATAAACCAAAAAACCCAAAAATATTTTATATTTTGTTTAGTTCTATCTATCTCTATCAGATCTCACCTTTGCAAGTGACCGTGAAGGGATTGACAACCCGTTTATCACATTGGGTGCAAGTGTTTGATTGTTTGTGCAAGTGCATCTATTGGGGACTTGCGCGTTTCTCCTACTGGATTGATACCTTGTTTCTTAACTGAGGGAAATACTTATCTCTTCGGTGCTGCATCACCCTTTCCTCTTCAAGGGAAAAACCAACGCAAGCTCAAGAAGTAGCAGGAAGAATTTCTAGCGCCGTTGCCGGGGAGATCTACATCAAGCCTACCAAGTACCATCATAAACTCTCATCTCTTGCATTACATTATTTTCCATTTGCCTCTCATTTTCCTCTCCCCCAATTCTAAAATGATTTTCAGAAAAACACAAAAATATTTTCCCTTTTTATTCGCCCTTCTTCCGTTCGTCTTTTCGTTTGCCTCTTTGCTCGTGTTGCCATGTGCCTTCTATTTGCTTGCATGTTTGATTGCTAAAAATATATTGTTATGGATCCACTTAATGTTTTCTAATTGGATCATCTTCGACCCATATGTGCTCGTGCTGAAACCCCAACCAGTTTAGTTGAGGGGAAATCTTTAGATATGCATGCTCATTTTGTGCGTCACTGTTTGTTTGAAAAAGGGAGATTCTTATGGAATCAAATAAATTATTTTCTATGTTATGCTTGGAATCTTTGTGAACTTTGTGATTTTACTTGTTGCTCTAAGAACACAAAAAACACCTTCCCTGCCTATGTGAGTTTTAATGATAATGAAATTTTATCTTCTTATGAAAAGAGTGTTTATAGTTACTATGATATCGAACAAATTGAAGAATCTATTGCTTTTAAGGGTGCTTATGAAGTTGCTTCTTTGATTTAAAAGTATGATATTACTCTCTACATATCTGAAAAATTTGACATACTTAAATATTGCTATGAAAACTATGGTTATAATGTCTATGTCAAAGTATTTATTGAGAGAATGACCGTGGCTTTGGAAGAAAATAATGATATGCATAAATCTATAGATAATTATGATTCCGATGATTTGATTGTAATATCCCTTGATGAACATGATGCTTGCCATTCTTA